CCTGAACTACCTGCTGTTCCCTAGATGTGAAATGTCCTCTCCCAACACTAATCCCTTTGCACACACTGTTCCCTCCGCCTTTAACACTCTTCCCAACCCTGCGGCATTTGTCCGCTTTGCTTTGGGTTTCAGAGTAGATCTTTCTTTCTCCAGGAAGCCTCCCTGGCCCGCTGACCTCCAGCGTCAGGTATCCCTACTCTGTTCTCTGGCAGCAACGCTGTACTGTTAGGATCCACTTTGCTGTCAGTGTCTCCTGGTCGGTGAGAGAAGATTCTGTGACGCTGCTGTCACTTCTGTGCTTGCCATGAAGCCAGACCCATAGCAAGGACTCAGGAAATCCTTGTTCACCAAGCAATCGTCAGTATCCATCCTTCTCCAAACTCCCTGAGAATGGCCTTCCCTTCCCACGGTGCATATTTAACCCTTTGCACTCGCTTGCTTTTTTTTCTTGATTCCTTTATTCTACTCAGGATTTAATTTTTTAAATACCCCAGATTTTACAAAGCACGGCCATAGAATAAAAAACTGGAGTTCTGGCCGGGCGCGGTGGCTCACACCTGCAATCCTAGCACTCTGGGAGGCCGAGGCGGGCGGATTGCTTGAGGTCAGGAGTTCGAAACCAGCCTGAGCAAGAGCGAGACCCCATCTCTACTATAAATAGAAACAAATTAATCGGCCAACTAATATATATATAGAAAAAATTATCCGGGCATGGTGGCGCATGTCTGTAGTCCCAGCTACTCGGGAGGCTGAGGCAGGAGGATGGCTTGAGCCCAGGAGTTTGAGGTTGCTGTGAGCTAGGCTGATGCCATGGCTCTCACTCTAGCCTGGGCAACAAAGTGAGACTCTGTCTCAAAAAAAAAAACAAAACAAAACTGGAGTTTCTTTTCATACAAACTTATTTATTTGGATTTTTTTATGTTTCAAATTATTGATACATTCAAAGAGTAATTTTAATCTCTATAATTTTTGCTAACCATGTCGAGTCACACTAGACATCTGAGTGCAAAGGGTTAAGTTTGTCACTAAGCATGGCTTCTTCTGCCCGCAGGATTCTGGAAACCACCATTTCTGGTTCCCCAGTCACACCACGTTTCCTCATGGCCTCTGTTTCTTTGCACATGCTGTTCCTTCTGCCTGGAATGCCCTTCCCCCACATTCTTGCTCATGAAATCCCTACTCATTCTTTAAGATTCATCATGTCTGTGACCTTTTTTTCCTGACTGACACCCTTCATCCCAGCCAGGTGCTCACTCCCCATCCTCAATCCCTCCTCATCCTCCAGGGCTTCCCTCCACCGGGGCTCACATCACATCATATTCTAATTGTGTCTCAGTGTCTGTCTCCACCACTAGACTGTGATCATAGGGCCAGCTTGTCATCTCAGCGAGGCAGGACTAGAATGTAATTCAAACCTAAAAAGCTGAAAATGGATCAGTTGCATTGTACCACAACTGAATAAAGATTATGCTAACAGAGAATCCCCCAAAGCATATTCCATGGAACCTTAGTTTAATAAAATGCTCCCTGCAGCCCAGCTCCCAGCTAATTTTATGGTCAGATACATTTGGGAAATTATGCAAATATCTCAGTTGTAGAGATTCATAGCACACATTCATTCCTTATTTTGTTTCTTTCTTTTTTTTTCTTTTTTGCCAGGGCTAGAGTGCTGTGGTGTCAGCCTAGCTCACAGCAACCTCAAACTCCTGAGCTCAAGCAATCCTCCTGCCTCAGCCTCCCAAGTAGCTGGGACTACAGGCATGGGCCAGTATTCCCGGGCTGGTTTTTTTTTTTCTTTTAATATTTTTAGCTGCCTGGCTAAGTTCTTTCTATTTTTAGTAGAGATGGGGTCTCACTCTTGCTTAGGCTGGTCTTGAACTCTTGACCTCAAGCAATCTTCCAGCCTCTGCATCCCAGAGTGTTAGGATTATAGGCGTGAGCCACCATGCCCGGCTCTATTTGTTTCAAATATACTTAACGAGCATCTACTGTGTGCCTGGGCCTGTGCTAGGTGCTAGGCCACAGCCCTGTGCCAGGTTTTAAGCAGAGTTTTTGTTTCCTGTCCTGCAACTTTGAGCTTTATTGGTTCAAAGGTCTTGGTTCTCAAAAAGGAATGGTCCCATCAGGTGATACAATGATGGTCCCATCGAACTGGAAGTGGAAACAGCTACCTGGCCACTTTGGCTCCTTACACCACAGAAACAAGAAGCAAAGAAGTGGAATACTGTACTGGCTGGAGTGATTGTTCCCGACTGCCAGGGGAGACTGGGTTGCTGCCCTGCGTTCGGGGGAAGGGGATGTCGTATGGAACTCAGGGGTTCTCCAGGGCACCTGTTAGTTCTTCCATTGCCAATAGTCAAAGTTAACGAGAAACGAAACCAATCAACTAAATAACCAAAAAAGCCAGGATCAGTACGGATTCAGACCCTTTAAGAATGAAGAGTTGGGTGACCCTACTAGGTAAAAACTGGACCAACTGAAGTGTAGGCTGAAGGCAAATGGAACATGGAATGGGTAATTCGGGAAGGAATGTATAAATATTAACTCCAGGCCCCTGACCAGTTACAGAAAGAGAAGTGCAGCAGTGACACAATTTTCCCCCTTGCTTGTATGTATATGTATATCTGTATCTATATCATTATTTATCTATATGCATACTTGTTTTATTAATTAATTTCTTTTCTTTCCTCTTCCCCCCTTACTATTTCATAGACGGATTGTTGGCAGTGGCTTGCAGGTTATAGAACATCCAGGCAGGACTGCCTAGGGACAGCCTTGCTCAAAGGTGGATACAATGTCTGTTGGGGCCTCCTCTCTCCCTTTTGCCAGGGAAGGTGAGAGTATCTTTGTATTAATATGAAGGAGAGTTGCAACTTATTATACAAAAAGCACGCATCTGTTATCACTGTTGTCCAGAAGTGTTGGTATCTGTAAAAGAGTGTGTGTGGCCCCGAGCAACAAAAGGAGGCGATGGGCCTTTAGAAGCTACTAACTCTCAGCCCCAAACTGGCCCTCTGTGCTCTGCTCTGCAGTGCTGGGACTGGAAAGGTCTGAAGCTTGGTTTTTCCAGCAGGCTTCCCCTTAGGGACTCGGGAGGCAAATGGAGACAGCGGAGACACACCCTTTATGTTCTCCTTGTCGTTCTTGCTGGTGTCGTCTTGGCAATGGCATTGCACCTGCAGCCTCCTGGTGGATTCCACGCTGTGGAATCTGCTTCACTGCTTCTTCAGAGGCGCCGCTGGGCAGGCTCTGTCCCCAGGGGTCTGGGTGCAGCTCTGCAGGGCCCCTCCTCTGAGCCGCCAAGGAGCCAGCCCTGGCCGGGCAGCGCCCTCCTCTCAGAGATCTGGGTTGCAGTTCCTCCGGGTCCCTCCGTCAACCTTCTAGCCCCGTCTCTTGCCGTTGTCCAGTCCTTGAGGTGGCAGCTGCTTCCTGCAGTTACTTTCTCTGTTACACCCAACGTCCTCCTTTTGCTTGTTTCGTTCTCCAGTAGCCATTTAACAGATTTCGTGATATTCAATTCTTTCTGTTTTCTGACCGACGCTTACTAACACGAGCAGAAACAAGACAGAGACCCTTCTGCAGGGATCCTGCAGTCTAGTAGGAGCGACATCCCTCAAGGAAACAATTACAGAGCAAGTGTTTAATTACGTTGAAATAAGTGCCACAGAGGGAAAGTACAAGGGGTATTAGCATATTAAAGGCCGTGAGAGGCCCTTGGGCAAACAGCCCTGCTTGGTTTAGCAGCATTTCCCTGACTTATTTGACCAAGAAACTTCCTGGGGGGCCGTCAGACCTGCGTGTGCGCAGGCGCCATGTTCCTCCCGTGGCATGCGGGGGGTTGGGGACATCTCGGCTCCAGGCGTCCAGCCACAGGATCAGCGACAGTTCCCTTTGCCCTCATTCCAGCCCCACGAGGCAACTCTGATCATCATCGAGTGGCCGAGTGCATTTCCCCATAGGGAGAGGGTGCTCCCGTCTGCCAGCACAGGCATTCTAGTAGTTTCTTTCCCATTCTAGAGCAGGTGTCCTGACCTGGGTCTTTGGAGGGATCACCAGTCCCTTAAGACTATACTCAAAACGTGTGCATGTGTGTGCGCGTGCGTGTGCATACACGCGTGGGCATTTTTCTGGCACGAGGGTCCGTGGCTTTTGTTACTTCTGGTGGGAGTGTGACTCCAGAAAAGAGAAAGGTTAGGGATCACTGCATTAAAGAACAACGTGCCTGTTTTTATTTGAATGTTGGTCTCCTGTGAGTTTGGTCGCTGTAAATTGGTCCTTCTCGGTCTGATCGGCCTTGGGTTGACTCACCGCACCCAGGTTCCGGATCCTTCAGTCAGCCTTCGTGGGCCTGTGTCCGACCTGTTGCCCCGGCTGGGAGACCCTCTCTCCTCCCTTGTGGTCAACTCCCAGTTATTCCCCAGGTCTCGGAGCACGTGCCACTTCCCTTCTGGAAACTTCTCTGACTGACCAGTTAGATTCCCCCCTTCTTTGTGCTCCCACAGCATCACCCCCGCCTCTCTGGGGCCCCCACTTCCCCTCCCCCAGGACCGTGTTTTTCCCTTTCACGGTGCTTCTTCCGCGATGTGACCACTGTGTGCGCTTCCTGTCTGCTGCGTGCTAGAACACAAGCGCCACGAGGGAGGGGGTCCTGGTCCCCCTTCGCTCTGCTCTACCCCAGCGCCAAGCACAGGGTCTAGCACACAGTAGGTGTCCAATAAATACTAGTTGAAGGAGTACATGCAAAAATAAGTAATCCTTTCAGTGCCACACGTATGTGCTGTCGCAGTTAGACCATGAATGTCCTTTACCTCACTCTATGACTACGTACAGACTTGCTGGCCACGAGAAGTCCAACGAGTGAAACATTCAGATAATCAATTTTTGTCTTTTGTCACTGAAAGCTTCTTTCTCACCAGAGCGCACACGTGTGTGCGCACACATGCACGACCTTACGTGTGGATAAAAAGAAAACATGCCGCAGAGCGTTGGAATAAACATACCTGCATTCCTCAGGAAGCGACCCTGGTAGTCCTTGATTACCCTCGTGAACGGGTTGTAGAAGCCGTCTCCACAGTCATAAGAGCCCTTGGGGATTTTTCTAGGTGGGTCCATATTGGTGAGTTGAGAGATACCTTGAAGAGGCAAAATGGGCCATTAGTTCACCATCAAGGGCAACTCCAAATCCAAAGCCCCCCATATGGTCTACTTCTTGGCTGGGTGCTCATGTGACTATCTGGCTCTACTGTGGGACTAAACACTCCTGATTCAGGGTAAGGAGCAAACACAGCAGGGACAGTGCTCAAAAGAGCTTCCTGAAAATGGCTCTGTAATCCCTGTCTTCTTACCTTGACCTTATCCTCCTCCCTGTCTTGGGATTCCACAACAATGGGCACAGGATCTGGAGTCAGAGAGACTCTGGGATGAGTCAGAGTTGACCAGCTGAGGAGAAGGGCTGGTCCACGGGAGGGATGGCATTCAAAGTGTGGGCAGAGGCCAGAGGCATTGAAGCCTCAGGCCTCACCGAGGACAGCTTGCAGAGCAGAGCCCGCATGAAAGAGAGCAGTGGGAAAGAAACAGGCCAGGTGGACAAGGGGCAGGTAGTGGACAGCCTTGACTCTCATCAAAATTACCATTTATCAAATGTTTATTATATGCCAGGCATTATGCTCCTACCGTTTCATTTAATCCTAAGAGCAACCTTGTGGCCCCATTTTGCAGATAAGCAAACTGAGGCTCAAAGAGGTAAAGTAATATTCCCAAGATTATCCACCTAGAGAGCAGCCCAGCTCTGGAACCTGTGTCTTCAGCTGTCAACATCACGGGAGGAAAGAGGGCCTAGGCATGGCCCCAGAACTGGGGACACTGGGACCCCCAGGAGAGAAAGAGGAGTCACTTTTTATGTCATGCACCCTGTGTGGGTCTATCTTGGAATGCTGTGGCCTGAGTAAAGGGAGAGGTTGGAATACATAACTTCTCAGGTCCCTTTCTGATTGTAGCTCCTATAATTCCCTGTTCTCTGGACTGAGAGCTGGGCACCCACTGAGCACAACAGCAGAACTACGCTCACAACTCAGTGTCCTGCACACAGTAGGTGCTCTTGTGTTGGTTAACAATATACCCAACCCTAACCTTGATGCTGACCCTGACCCTGACACTAACCCTAACCCCATGAATCCTGGCCAATGATTGCTGAGCACCGATTCCATGCCAAGTGCTTTACAGCCATTCTCTCACTGGAGCCTCATGCCAATGCCCATCTCACTGATGCCCATCCAGGTCATGGGGCACCCTTGTCACCCCAACAATGCCTGCCCCTGAGGCAAAATGCAGAGTAACAAGGGAAGGAAGTGGCTACTTAGGGTAAAGCTGCTCTGCTGGGCAGCCCTGGAGGAAGGGGAGGGGCAGGCAGGTGCAGGGAAGGTCACCACGCTGCCTTCGAGACTGGCAGAAGCAGCTGCTGTGTGACAGCCGAGGCCTGAGGCTGAGGGCTCTTTGCCCATAGGCCTCAGCTGGGATGAAGAGCCCATGACAAAGTCCGGACCCATCTAACCCAGGGATGACTTGCAGGGTGCTCGGGTTGTGTCTAGATTGGCAGCTCTGGGTCCCCCTGGAGCCAGCCAGTGTCTAACATAGAGTAGATGCTCAGGAAGTGTTTGTCAATGTCATTGGCTTAACTCCTCTAAGTGTATCCCTCACCCCCTATAGTGATGTCAATATCATTATCCCTGTTTGACAATAATTCTTTATTGAGCACCTACTATATGCCAGGCAATGTGCCAGGGCCGTGCCCTTGTGCTGCTCACAATTGGCTCAGAAAGATGGACACTGAACACTCAAGATTCAACCTCTGGAGGGGGTCGTGGCTGCTCTGTGATATGCCTCGGGGAGACCTCACCTAGTCTGGGAGCTCAGGTACGCCGGGGCCTGAAGGATGGGAGGGAGTTATTTGGGTGAAGTGAGAACATTAGAGTATGCTAGGCAGAGGGAATGGCAGGAAACAATGTGGTCTCTTTGAGAAATAAAGAGAAAGCAAGCATGGCAAGAGAGGAGAGGGAAAAGCTGAGAAGGGTAGGTGGCCCAAGGCGAGGCTGGGGACATCAGCAGGAGCCAGAGAATGTCGGTCATCTTGAGAAATTGGAACCTTGTCTTGAGGGTAGTAGGAAGCACTGAGGGGTGTGGGGTGGCAGAGTGGGGAATGACCTCGACAGGGACAAGAGGAGATCTTGGGAGGTCAGGTAGTGGAGGGGACAGATGATGCGGGTCTGAAATAGGGCGGTGGCAGAGAGGATGAAGAGAACACTGCCCAGCGCATGGAGGTGTTCACTCAGTAAATACTTGTCGAATGGCAAATGAAAGATTATATTTAAGGGGAAAAGTCCCTAGGGCCAGGTGACTGATTGCACACGGGGGATGGCGGAAGGGAGGATTAGGCTTCCCTAGGTGGACGGGCATGACGTTTCCTGGGGGAGCCATCACTGAGGGACAGTGGGCTGCGGGGAAGATGGCGAATTCAGCGCAGACACGCTGATGGATGGCCAACACAGGTGCCGGGCAAGCTGGATGCAGGAATATGAGGCTCAGAGATTCTCATTTCAATTTGGAAGTTGATGGTAGTTGAAGGCTTAGAAGTCAATCAACTCATTTAGGGAGAAAGAATAGAATAGCAACAGAAAAAGGCAGAGTAACCCTGGGAGACCCCAACATTAATAACTGGGGAGGGGGAGAGGAGGAGGCGCTGCCAGAGGACAGGAGGGACAGGAGGAAAATGGGAGAGTCAGTATTGGAAAAGCAAAGGGAGAAGGGAGCAAAGGCTCAATTAACTCATCCCAGGGTATGAAGCCAGTAAGTGAAGGAGCTGGGGTTTGAGCTCAGGTCAGCCTAACTCCAGTGTCTGGGTGCTTTCTGGAAGTTTCTGCCCTAATGGAGGTTGACTTGTCCAAGCTTATCCAGATATATAGAGAGAATTCTGGACTCAAACCCCGTCCTTCTGGCTCCATGCTCTGTCACCTACACCACACTATCTTCCACAACTTCAGTTGGGATTGGCTTTACAGTACAAAGTCATTTCCCCCCATGCTGTCTTGGATCTGTCGTCTCTGCAGTGCCCCAAACTACGCTATTCTTGAGGTTCACCTGGCCTTCACAAGTCTCAGAAACACAGATGAGCCCCTTAAGCTGCCACTCTTTGTTTTTTTTTTTGTTTTGTTTTGTTTTTGAGACAGAGTCTCACTTTCTTGCCCAGGCTAGAGTGAGTGCCGTGGCGTCAGCCTGGCTCACAGCAACCTCAATCTCCTGGGCTCAGCGATCCTACTGCCTCAGCCTCCCTAGTAGCTGGGACTACAGGCATGCGCCACCATGCCCGGCTAATTTTTTTTTTGTATATATATTTTTAGTTAGTCAATTAATTTCTTTCTATATTTTGGTAGAGACGGGGTCTTGCTTAGGCTGGTTTTGAACTCCTGACCTCAAGCAATCCGCCCACCTCGGCCTCCCAGAGTGCTAGGATTACAGGCGTGAGCCACCGCGCCCGGCCAGCTGCCACTCTTTGAATCCAGACTCTTGGCCCAAACATAACTCTCTGTGATGGGACATGGGTTTTGCAGGGAGGCAGCACAACACAGGGGACCTCAGAGAGGAAGACTGGGGCTCCAGGACAAGCTCTGTCACTGGGAAACATATCTGACTCCATGGTCTCAACTTTCTCCTCTATGACATGGGACTAGGAAGGCTGAGGGGGCAGGGCCATCTGGACATTCAAGGAGACAGAGATTACAGAGAGCCTCACCTGGCACCTGATACACAGAGCACCTGCTCTGCCAATGCTGCTTTTGCCCTTATCTCTTTCCTTTTACAATATCTACACAATTTTAGCGTTACAGTAGGTATTACAAATAAGAACAGCGGACATGAACTGTGCACTTACATGCATGCAAGACACTGTTCTAAACACTTTACATGAATTGTCTTGTTTACAACAATCTCACGAGGGAAATGCTATTGTCCCCATTTTGAAGGGGAGAAACTGAGGCACAGAGGGGTGAAGTCCTTTGTCCTCCGCTAGTACAGTGGAGACTGGTCTTCCTGGCCTCAAGATCTGGCTCTTTTGCGTTCTGCCGTGCCTGCTCAGCCCCTCTATCTCCTTTGAGCTAATTCAGTAGGTCACAGCCCACAGATTGAAAACTGTCTTTAGTTTCCCTCTCAGTTTGGCTGCGAAGGGAAGGGCGAGTGCTGGGGTACCTGCAGGCTTCAAGCCATTGCAGATCTCGGTGTAAAACCTCCGGTCGTAGCCGTCGCAGTAATGCCAGTTCTTCGCTTCGTACTGCAGCCCGTCTGCGAAGGTGTACTTGCCCTGCAAAGCAAGGAGCAGCACGTGCCTCTGAGGAAGCCACAGCCTTGTCGCCAGGAAGGGCGGATGTCAAGAGGAGAGGTGGCTTTCTCACTGCCACAGAAAAGAAGTGGTAACTATCACGATTATCATGGTTGTGACGATTAGAGAGAATGCGTAGAAAGCGCAGAGCTCTGTGCCCGCTGCTCACAGTAGGTTCACTCACGGTGCGAATTCGGGCAGATGACCTACTTTCTTTCAACTTCTGTTTTCCTCATTTGTATAATTAGGACAATGATGGTCTATATTTAATAGGATTGATTGACAATTCCATGACATGGCACATGTAAAGCACGTGTCTGACTATGATGGGTAATTCTATGTGTCAACTTGACTGGGCTGAGGATGCCCAGATAGCCGGTAAAATAATATTCCTGGGTGTGTTTGGGCAGATGTTTCTAGAAGAGATTAGCATTTGAGTTAGTAGACTTGAGAAAAGAAGATCCACCATCACCACTGTGAGTGGGCATCATCTCATCCGTTGAGGGCCGGAATAGAACAAGAAAGGTGGAGGTTCAGTGTGCAGATGGGCGGATGAAAGAAAACAAGTAAGTGGAGGAAGAGCCAGTCACTGTAACTGAGCTGGGACATCCAACTCCTGCCCTTGGACGTCAGCACTCCTGGTTCTCGGGCCTTTGGATTCTGGGACTTATGCTATTAACTCCCCTGGTTCTCAGGACTTCAGGTTTGGACTGGAATGACACTGATGGCTTTCCTGGGCCTTCAGCTTGCAGAGGGCAGATTGTGGGACTTCTTAGCCTCCACAATCTCATGAGCCAATCTCTCAAAATAAATCTCTTTCTATATGTTTCTATATATATATATCCTATCAGTTCTGTTTCTCTGAAGAACTCTAATACACTGACATAAACACCTAATAAATGTTATTATTATTCTTTCATTATTATCATAGCTAGAAAGGTTAGAGCCATCAGCTGCAGCTCTTTGTCCAAACACATACATTCACCTTTTGTTGCCTTAGTGCTAAAGCAAGCCTCAGGATGTAGAAACTGCATTGGCCTGGGCATCAGGAAACTTGGGTGGAAATTCCAACAATACTATTAATTCACTGTGTGACCTTGGGTAAGTCACATCCCCTTCCTGGGGCTTGGAGAATCCAAGTTATAAAACAAGGAGTGTTTCTTAACCTTTTTAAGGTCATGAGTCAGGCCCCAACACACCCACAGTGAAACTGATGAAAACTATAGATCCTTTTCCCAGAGAAAAACATTGTCCCATATGCACAGAAACTTTTGTAGGTAAATCAGGAGGTTTCACTGACCCCAGGATTCTATCCATAGCCCACAGATCCCAGGCTAAGAACGCCTGGATTAGATGGTTTATAATGACAGTAGCCGTGGTGCTGGTAGTAAGATTTAACACTCACTGTGTGCCAGGAACTTAGCAAAGTGCTCACATATAATGCCCCATTGACTCTCACAACTGTCCTAGCAGGTGCTATTTTGATAGACTGAATAATGGTCCCCCTGGTTTGCTGGGACCTTTGAATATGCTACCTTCCATGGCAAGAGGGACTCTGCAGATGCAAGTAAGTGAAGGATTTTCAGTGGGGAAATGATCTTGGATTATCTGGGTATACCCAGTGTAATCACGGGGCCCTTGTAAGCGGGAGGTAGGGAGGTCAGGGCGAGAGAAGACAGGATGATGACGGCAGCAGAGGTCGGAGTGGTGTGTGGCCACGAGCTAAGGATTGCGTGCAGCTTCTAGAAGCTAGAAAAGGCAAGGAAACAGATTCTCCCACAGAGCCTCTGGAAGGAGTGCATCCCTGCTGACCTATTTTCGACGTCTGACCTCCAGAACCGTAAGATAATAAACGTGTGCTGATTTAAGACACTAAACTTGTGGTGACTTATTACAGCAGTGACAGGTACTGTCACTACCGTCCCCAGTTTGCAGAGGAGGAACTGGAGTCTCAGAGAGGTGAAGTCACGGCCCCAGACCAGGCAGTGAGTGGCGGAACAGATTCAAAGTCATCATGGCCTCCCCGGGGGCCCTTCCACATTCAGAGGGGGAAGATTCTAGAGCCGTGGGAGATGACGAAGTGGAGGGAAGAGGGCATGGAAGGAGGCGGGCACCAGACAGAGGGAGGGCAGGGTGCCACAGCAGTGGGGGCCCTTGCTGCCCGAGGACCTCTCCCCTGCAGCCCTTGGCTGGTCACCTTCACGACCAATCCGTTTTCCCAGACGGCGTCATAGCGGCTCCCGCTGGGGAAGTACAGGGTCCCCTCGCCGTGAAACATGCCGTCCTTCATCTCCCCGACGTATCTCGTTTCAGTGGGCAGGATGTATTCGGCATGGCCCTCCATCCTGCAAAGACACGGGACGCCTCTGAGCCCTGCGCCACAGCCAGAGGGTCAGCACTGGCGGGCGAGGGAGAGCCAGTGGGACCCTTACCCGGGGCATCCTCAGACATTATCGTCCCTGCAATATTCTGTTCACAAACACGGCTTCTGTTTTGTTTCCCTCAAAAGCCCCCAAATGAGAGGGGCTGTGTTGTTTAAACCTGGGGGAGGAGTGGAGTTTTGTCTGTTCATCCTCCCCCTCATCTAGAGGCTGTCCTGGAGTTGATTGCTGCCCCTTGAAATACCCCCTTGGTGGGCCCAGAGAGGGTAGGGATGTATCCAAGTCCACACAGTAAAGATCGTGAAGCAGAGACCAAGGCCCAGGTCACTGGCGTCTGGTTCTGTGTCTTCCCTGTCCCCTCATCCTAACTGGCCCACCCCTGCCAATTACACCACGAGTGGAATATTAGGAAAAATATGAAATTTAGAGATAGGAGATAAGGGTTTGAATCTTACACCACCATTTTCTAGATGTATCATCTTGGAGACTTTCCCAAAGCTCTCTGTTTGTCTCCCTTCCTTCCTTCCAACAACTATTTACAGAGCACCTACCACGTGCCAGGGGCTGTGCTGAGAATCTGGTCTGCTGGATACAACAGTGGTCAAGGCAGATGCAGTTCCTGTCCTCAGGGGGCTCACAGTCTAGTGGGGGACACAGTGAAGCAATTACACAATCTTCAGGGCCCAATTCAAATATTATCTACTCCGTGAAGTCTTTGAGGCCTGCCCTGACTGGATGCGTCCTCTTGGGGCCCAGCACAGGGCTCTGCAGTGGAAAGCACCTAGGCTTCAGAGTCTGAGATGCCTGGCTTGTCACCCCTGCTCTGCCAAATGCTAACTAGGTGACTGGGTAAGCTATGCAATTACTCTGAGCCTTACTCTTCCTGTCCGTAAAACAGAATGATGATGCCTCATTGAGTTCCTGGGAGGAGGTGAAGATGCAGGCAAAATCACCTGGAGCACAGTGGTTGTTACATAAATGTTACTGGTCTCCCTTCCTCCTGTGTTTATAGGTCTCTTCTGGCACTTACCTTGTGGTGCTGTGCAGTGGAGTTATCTAGAACTCAATTGTGCAACCATTCCAGAGAAACCATGCTCCTGAGGTCAGATAGATCCTACATTAACTTTTTATTTTTTTATAAGCACACATGGTACAGGAAAATCATGTGTCTTTTAACTTTTTTTTTTTTTTTAAAAAAAAAACAGCTTTATTGAAGACATAATTGACATACAAAAAACTACACATTTTTTTGAGACAGAGTCTCTCTTTGTTGCCTGGGCTAGTGCCATTGGGGTCATAATAGTTAGTCACTGCAATCTCAAACTCCTGGGGTCAAGTGATCCTCCTGCCTCAGCCTTTTGGAGTAGGTGGGACTATGGGTGCATGCCACTCTGCCTGGCTAACTTTTTTATTTTTTGTAGAGATGCTCATTGGAATCTCATGGTCACCGAGGCTGGTCTTGAACTCTTGGCCTCAAGTGATCCTACCACCTCGGACTCCCAAACTGCTAGGATTATAGGAGTGAGCCACCACACCTCGCCTGTTTAACTTTCTTTTAACAAACTGCCAAACTTTTCCAAAGCAGCTATACTATTTTACATTCCCACCAGCAGTGAAGAGTCTACATAAACTTTTCAAACCAAATGTTAAATATCAACCTTCTACTGTATAGAGAAGCTACTCTATTCATTTAAACTCTAAAGGGAAAATACTCCCTTTCCAAATTAAAAAAAAAAAATCTATTGAGTATCTACCACATGTAAGTGACATTCATATATGCTATATTACATAGCCCTTGGAACACTTCTGCTGGATGTGCATTATTTTCCTATTTTACAGATGAGGAAACTGAGGCATGGATGGTTAATTAAGTATACAAAACAAATAAGTGTCAGATTTGAGCCCTGGACTGTCTCATGCTGAAGCCTTTTTTCCTCTATTATCCTGTGTCTTTCAACACATGATGAAATTTGAGAGGCCCCCATTATGACTCTGGTTAACCATTGTTGAAGAACAAAATCAATACAGAATACAGGGCCAAATTATGAAAAGAAATATGACAAGCAAAACAACTGACTTCTTGCTGGTTATGGGAAGTTGAAGAACCCTATTCAGGGCTGGGAATCCCTGTCATTGTTACAGCGGTACCAAAAACCCCAAGTAAAACAGCTTTCTAGGGACAAAAGCATGGAAATGGCTGATGCAATACGCAGACCCAATGCAAATGCACAAAAAACCAAAGGCAAATGCTTGAGAGCCTTCTGTCTTTGACCCTGTCTGTATGTTTCTTTCTCTCACACACATAGCCCATTGAAAATAAGTGTAGCTTCTCAAATTTTTGTGCCTAAAATGCCCAATACCCCATATCTATCTGCCAACATTCTACCACCTTCACTTTAGCAGAACGTTGTAGAAAAAAGGAACATAGTTGGGACACAGGACTGAGTTTAAATTCTGACTCCATTACTCCTGGCTGTGTACCCATAACAGTGGGCAAGTCATTTTGCTTCTCTTAACATCTGTTCCTCCATTTGCAAGATCAGCCTGAACCACCTCATAGAGTTGTGAGATGGAGCACACACCAAGCACCTCTGCCACTGACCTGCTGAGTTGGACACGTGTCTCAAACTCTGTAAGCCTCATATTTCTTACCTCTAAGGTAGAGAAGTAATAACATTTCCCTTGCAAAGATGATGTAAGGATTAGAGATGGCTTTCCATCTATATTAATATTATCTCCTTCTCTAGGAATCTATCTTCTATCTCTAGCCAGACCATAGGTCCTTCCTGTGAAGTCAGAAAGCCCTGGAATCTCACCAACCTGTGAATACAGAGATGGATTCCACCAAAATCTTGCCCTTCATCCCTTCTCCATTTCCATGGCCCCGAGGTAGGAGTGCTTCACACTCCCAACAACTAGCAGTTGTTTGGCAATCCACTTCACCTTGCTCAGCCTCAGTTTCCCCAGCTATAAAAACAGAGATTCCACCTTCTTCATCCAGGATGGCTGGCAAGGAAGAGTAGCTATCTCTGTGTTTGTCTGCTTTTTCCTACTGGAGCACTTCCCATGCGGAATTGTGGCTATCTGTGTCGTGTTTACTTGCCCCACTACATTTGAATAAACTTTTTGAGAGCACGGATTGTGCCAGAGACAAGTTCAGGGTCTGGTACTTGGTAGACACTCCACATTGTTGAACCAAATAGCTTTTACTACTGGTGCATTACTGTGATTTATATCTCTAGTCTTCTAGAATAATCCCTAGATTGTGACCCCCTATAGGGAAGACACCTGTGGAATCAGATTAGCCACAGTCCCTCTTCCCCAGTCTCCATGTTTGTTTTCATAGCATTTATCACTACCTGTTATTATTTTCTCATTTATTTGTTCATTGACAATGAACTAGATTATAAACTCCATGAGATCAAAGGCCAATCCCTTGAGGAAAAAAAAGAAATAAAAAAGAAATAAAAAATAAACTCCATGAGAACAAGGATCTTGAAATTTTTAATATTCTTATCCCCAGATCCAAAACTGATAGATAGCACACACACACACACACACATACGGAATGCATGGATCTCAGCTCTGCTGCTTATTAGGTATATATGGTCCTTGAGCAAGTTCCCTGGGCAAGTTTGTGAGTGTGTGGTACAAGGTCCTTCGCAGACGCAAAAAGACAGGGTCTTTCCTAGTCACAGATACTCAAGACGTAGTGAATCAAACGAGGCCCTTACCTCCCATCTACAAAGTCCCCGATATATTGGCTCCCAGTGTACTGCATGGCGCCTGCTTCTATAATAGTTTCCAGACGTTGGGATCCGGAGTCTCAGTGGTTGCAGCCTCACTATGACAACCGGGAGGGATGGGCGGAGCCGACGCGAAGCCCCGCCCCGCGGGGCTCGCAGAGCTTCCTGGCATTGCGCACGCTCTCTCGCCTCACGGTTGGGCAGAGCAGTGCGCCTGCGTGCCGCCGGCTGCGCATGCGCAGGCGCTGTGTGGCCTCGCCGGTGTTGGAAAGGGGAGTTCAAGGAGACCGGGGCGACGCGGTTGACGGCGCTTCGTCAGAGTTTGGGCTGCAGCCGTCATGCCGGGGATAGTGGAGCTACCCACTCTAGAGGAGCTGAAAGTGCAGGAGGTGAGGCTCGTCCGGAGGACAGGCAAGCGTGGCATAGGGCTTGGGCCTAGCCCTTCCCGGGCCTGGGCCCAGCCCTGCTTCGCCTCTGCGGACCCTGGGTCCCGGGTCTCTCTCCCCCGCCCTCCAGCGCATGCATGGGGCACCCCCGGACGTCGCCTCCACAGCCTTGGGAGTCGTCCCCCCCGCACCACCCGGTCGCATCTGGCAGTGGCTCTAGAACCCTGTCCACACAGCGACCTGCTTCTTCCGTGAATAGTAATGGTACTTTTTACTAAGCACCAGCCAGGGTCACTTAGTTTACGTTGCTTAATCCTCAGAGCTTCCTTCCTGCGAAGCGAGTGTACAGTTCTAGGTGCTCACAGTCAAGGGAGAGAGACAGTCACCTTAAAGTGGTGTCATCGGTGCAGAGTGCATTAGAGCGGAGGCAGGAAGCCGCGGGAAAATGAGATATTGGAGAGTAAATTTACTCATAGCCTTGGGAAGGTCTTTGGTAACAGGATACATTTAAAGCATTCGTTTATTCAAGAGATACTTGAATAACTACCACGTGCACATACACTGGAAAGTAAGAGATATACTTCCTGCTCTCAGAGTTTGTAATCTGGTGAGGAGACAGACACATAAAGAGGCAGTTACAGTATCATGTAGTTAGTGCTGTGAGAAGTGAAGACATAATTATAGCTAATATGATCAAGCCTTTTCCAGAAGCCAGGCAGGATGCTGATTACTTTACATGCATTAATTCATTGACTTCCTCCCTGCCACACTGTAAAGTAGAACATATGTGTGTGTGTATGTCTATATATTAATCAAATTGATCTTTCCATGTTGTAGATGAGGAAATAGGCCCTCAGAATAAGCCCTGAGATTTGCCCAAGGTCACATAGCTCCTAAGCGGTAGAGCTGGAATGTGAACCCAGTTCTGATTTTAAAACCCATGCTTTTTAACTACGGTGTTATGGGCAAAAGTTCAAAAGAGTAAGAAGGCTTAGCAGAACCTTGTGTGTTTAGGGAGCCAAGTGCTGTTTGAGGTGACCTAAGCGTTGGTGGGAAGCAGCAGGTGCTGATTGTGGAGCTGTACCTTGGGCTGAGATAGGGTTTGGAGGCAACTTCAACAAGGCCAGACCAAGCAGTTGGATTTTATCCGGTGAGTGAGGTGGTGGGAAGAGGCGGAAGGCTTTAAGGCTGATGAATGTGGTGGCAGGCCTGGGTAGTAGAAAGAACAGGCTATATTAAAGGAGAAGGAAGGCAAGACTAAAAATTAAGTGTCAGAAATTGTATACCAGACACTTTGTTAAGTGTTTTTTCCTTCATTACTTAATGTAATATTCTTTTATGTCTATGAGAATGGCAACTATTATTTTCCTCAGATAAGGAAATTATTAGCTATATTCAGGGACTTGATAATAAAGTGACATTTACTATAGGGTGGAAGGAGGGTTGCTACCATGGAGCCAGTTGATCTTTTGTTTCTTGCCCCTCTGTGTCACTCTGTTAATCTTGAATTGCTGTATTTTTTGTTGGAATTTTAATTTGGTTCAACAAACATCTGAGGTTCTATTTCATTCAGATGTTCTATATCTGGAATAAATTTGCCTTACTGAATTGAGATACAAATAATTACATAAACTAAAACATAAGAGAAAGTATGATTAAATACTATGAAAGAAGGGCAGACAAGATTTAAGAAAATAGGATTTGAAGTTGGATCTAGATTAGTTATCTAAGTGTGACTGGTAGGCCATCTTGATTAGTGGATTTTAGCATTTGCAGACACAGTTATTTGTAAGGTGAGGTGATTACAGCTGTAGAATTATCTGAGGCTATAAAGGGAATAGAGAAGGCACTTTGGGGGCATAATACAAGACATGGCTAAGTGGCATTTGAAGAATGGCATTTATGGGCGGAGATGGAGTGCACTCTCTAAATGAGGGTAAGATCTGAGCGAAGGTAAGGAGATGGGAAAATGCAGGTGGCCAAAAAGGGGTTCTGGGCATAGTGGGTTCAGTGTTTTCAGAAAACAGCAAATAGTCCCTTTTTGAAGTGTTGTGGGTGAGAAGGCTGGCAAGATAGTTTGGGTCCAGAAGGCTTTGAATACTCAGTAATAAGTTCAGGCTTTATTCCGCTGTTAAGGCTGAATCCTTTGAGGGTTTGGTTGCCATTATAATTTAATAGTAGAGTAAAATAAGAATTGTCATTTAGGAAGAAGATACCCCAGCAGCTCCAAAGAATGTTTTGAAGAGAGGAAAAGAAAAGCAGGGAGATTAATCTCTGTTGCTGTTAAAAAAATTGAGAAAGGTATTAATGACCCCAACCTAATTGGTGACTGTGCTTACAAAGAGGAAAGAAAAAGTATATCTAGAATTGATCAGACTTAGCAATGGATTAGATATTGAAGGCAGGAATCAATGTCAGATTTGCAACCTAACAATAGGACTGGGGAAGCCAGAAGAAAGGGCAGGATTGGGTAGCAGGTTAAACACATTTTGAACCTCCTTGACTTAGGAGTTATGACACATTCCCATTGAAAAAGTAGTTAGGCCGGGCGCTGTGGCTCACGCCTGTAATCCTAGCTCTTGGGAGGCCGAGGCGGGCGGATTGCTCAAGGTCAGGAGTTCAAAACCAGCCTGAGCAAGAGCGAGACCCCGTCTCTACTATAAATAGAAAGAAATTAATTGGCCAACTGATATATATATAAAAAATTAGCCGGGCATAGTGGCGCATGCCTGTAGTCCCAGCTACTCGGGAGGCTGAGGCAAAAGGATCACTGGAGCCCAGGAGTTTGAGGTTGCTGTGAGCTAGGCTGACGCCATGGCACTCACTCTAGCCTGGACAACAAAGCGAGACTCTGTCTCAAAAAAAAAAAAAAAAAAAAAAAAAGAAAAAGTAGTCAGAAGTTTTGGGCTGGAAATTCCTTGGGCACACTGATAATTTTGAGTAAAAATAAAAATAATAGCTAATATTTATGATGTACTTTGTGCTAGGCACTGTTCTTATTTTTTTTTTTTTTTTTTTTTTTTTTTTTTTTGAGACAGAGTCTCACTTTGTTGTCCAGGCTAGAGTGCCGTGGCGTCAGCCTAGCTCACAGCAACCTCAAACTCCTGGGCTCGAGTGATCCTTCTGCCTCAGCCTCCCGAGTAGCTGGGACTACAGGCATGTGCCACTATGCCCGGCTAATTTTTTTTATATATATCAGTTAGCCAATTAATTTCTTTCTGTTTATAGTAGAGACGGGGTCTCGCTCTTGCTCAGGCTGGTTTTGAACTCCTGACCTTGAGCAATCCGCCCGCCTCGGCCTCCCAAGAGCTAGGATTACAGGCGTGAGCCACAGCGCCCGGCCTGTTCTTATTTTTTAATGTATTAACTAATCTTCATAACAGTTTTATAAAATAAGTATTCTCTATTTTACATAAGTTAAGGAAAATATAAGGCATGGTATAAATTAGTTACTACAAAAAGAGGTGCAGACATAGTTTAAGGAAGCAAGAACGGGACTAGGAGATTGATTGGCTATAGATTGTGACTTTCTCTGTCTCACTTGCAACACCTGCAGACTATAATCCTGCTGTGCAGTGAGACTGTTGTGAGAATAAATGAAGAAGGATGTTGAATTCGATGTTCTTTGAGACAAAGAGAGCTGAATGAATTTGAGAGGGTATTCACGGTAAGCAGCTGTGAAAGGATGTTGTTTCTGTTGGAATTCATCAGTCTTAGTGAAGAAGCAGGTGAGGGGATATGGTGACATTTCAAGTTCTTTGCCACCTCAGTGATGGTGACGTAAAGGGGAAAAGCCTGATTGGAGGTCACAATCTCTGAGTTCCAGTTCTGGGGTTGCTGCTGACCTGCTGTATCCTCTCAAGCACATCTCTTTCTTTCATGGGTTAAGAAATAGATTCAATGAGTGGCTCTCATCCTTGATTTCCCTGTGACAGGGATGGTGGTTTACATGTTCAGCGACATGGGTATACATGTTCATTTTGATTAAGATCTTCGCTTTGTAGGGAAGTAAAACAAATAATGCTGCAGGCTTTTTTGGGCATGATAGCCATAGGCATTTGAATAATTAAATCAGCTATTTAAAGATATTTTAAGGCATTTGATAAGGAAGTCAATATAGCTAACTGAATTTTTAAAATATATTAAGCTTTAAAATAAGTGTGAGTGTTGATTTATTTATTTATTTATTTTTATTGAGACAGAGTCTCACTTTGTTGTTCAGGCTAGAGTGAGTGCCATGGCATCAGCCTAGCTCACAGCAACCTCAATCTCTTGGGCTCAAGTGATCCTACTGCCTCAACCTCCCAAGTAGCTGGGACTACAGGCATGCGCTACCATGCCCAGCTAATTTTTTGTATATATATTTTTGGTTGGTCAATTAATTTCTTTCTATTTTTAGTAGAGACGGGGTCTTGCTCTTGCTCAGGCTGGTTTTGAACTCCTGACCTTGAGAGATCTGCCTGCCTTGGCCTCCCAGAGTGCTAGGATTATAGGCGTGAGCCACCGCACTCAGCCTGAGTGTTGATTTCTATTCTCCCAGCTGTTTATAGGTAATAAAGCAAGCAAATGTGTGCTACTCAATTAAATAAATTTTTATTTTCAAAAACTTTAATGTAAAAACTTTACAGATTTTTAACATAAATTTATTAGAATCATCATGGCAAATTTCACTTACATTATAACTTTACCTATGCTTTGATAATTGTAAAGTTGTAACTTTAGTAGACATAGTCATAAATTCTCTTCTATTGTGTATAGA